TTGGTGTCGCTGCCTCCAAGGATGAAGATCCCATGACCGAAGGAATTTGAGGACGGAGATGTGCTGAGCTTCCTAAAGGAGTTCGAGGCTGTGGCGGAGCTGGTAGGAGTGAAGGAGCCGAAGGCGAAGACGGTGGTGCTGGGGACGCTGCTGAGAGGCAGAGCGAAAGCTGTATATGACGGCCTGGGCGGCGCGGGCGGTAAGACGACATGGGAGGCAGTCACGGAGCGGTTGATCGCGGAGTTCGATAGCCCAGTGGACAGAGAAGAAGCACTGCAGAAGTTCCGAGTGGCGAAGTTGCCGATCGATGGTGATCCGCTGGTGCTGGCCGTGGAGCTTATCAAGCTGCTATGTCGCGCGCTGCCAAATCTGGATGAGGAGTCGGAGGCACAGTTGTTGGCGTCGCAGTTTATCGAGAGCGTGCCTGTTGCCGTTTCCCAGCAGCTGAGACTGATACACGCCGCGCAACCTATGGATATCAGTGAGCTTGCGGAGGTGACGCGACAGTTGATGACACGAACAGTAGCTCCGGTCGCGTGCGGAAGTCAGGAGATAAGCAGCATTGAGAAGAAGATTGAAGAACTGCAGCACGAGATTGCGGCATTACGAGTGATTCGTAAAAGGAATGATAAGTGTTTCGCATGTGGAGGGACAGGACACTGGAAGATAAACTGTCCAACACGACGAAAACGGAGATATTTTAGACGTTACGTGTTTCCTTCTTACTCTAGGGATCTGGGGGTTGTTGCATTAGTAGATAGAGGGGCAGTCTATGCAAGAGTGAACGTAAATGAACTAGATTTAGTGTGCCTAATCGATACAAAGGCAGCAGTTTCGTTAATAGGTAAAGAGCAATGTAAGAGATTCAAGCCGTGTAAAGTCGCAGTTCACACTATAGGAGGGCATATGTTAGAGGTATTGGGCGTGTCTAACAGTATCGTAAAAGTGGATGGTTCGGAGATAAGTTTTCCGTTCGTGGTAACCGCAAGCCTGTCGAGACCAATATTAGGAGCAGATTTCCTAAGAGAAGTAAAAGCCATAGTTGACCTAAGAAGCGGTAAGGTGGTCACGAAGTACGGTTCATTCCCAATACATGAAAGTAGCGAGGTGGCTGAGGTTAGAGTGGCAACAGCCGTTTTAACGAGGAAACCAAACATCACCGAGTTGTGCACAAAGTATGCGAAACTGTTCACTGGAGAAGGAGAACCGTACGGATTTTGCGACAAAATAAAGCACGAAATCCCGATAAAGAACAATAGAGGAAGTATATTCACAACACGTCGTGTCCCGGTGCACTTAGAGGCTGAAGTAAATCGACAGGTCCAAGAGATGCTGAAAGAAGGAATAATTGAAGAGGCGGACAGCCCGTATAGCTCACTGGTACTCTTGGTAAAGAAACCGAGTGGGAAATATAGATTTTGTGTTGATTTTAGAGAACTGAATAATATAACAGAACTAAAGCCGTGTGGAATGCCAACAGTAGTGGAAACATTAGATCGGCTGCAGAATGCCACGGTGTTTACAGTGTTGGATTTGCGGTCAGGTTATTGGCAGCTGCCTATAAAAGAGAGCGATCGAAGCAAGACAGCATTTACCATACGTGATAAACAATATCAATTTAGACGAATGCCGTTTGGATTGGCGGGTGCACCATTTACGTTCAGAAGATTAATGTCGCTACTGCTCAGGGATCTAGATAATGTCAAAGTGTATGGCGACGATGTAGTTGTATACAGCCAGACAGAAACAGATCATGTCAAGCATGTGGAAGTGGTCTTAAAGCGAATTGAAGAATTCGGACTTCGAATTAATAAGGACAAGTCACAGATGGCGAAAAGTAGCATCACGTTGTTGGGGCATAAAGTGGGAAATGGAGAAATAAAACCACTGCCGGAGAAAATTCTGACTATAAAGAACATTGCAGTACCGAATTCGAAAAGGAAATTGAGACAGTTCCTGGGAAGGGCGGCGTTCTACAGTCGGTTCATCAAGAATTTCAACGAAATAGCAGCACCCCTTTATAAGTTGCTGAGTAACACTAAATTTTCGTGGACTGAAACCGCCCAACAAACGTTTAATCAAATCAAAAACATGCTGGACGATCGCCAGATGACGCTCAGACTGCCCGAACTGGAAAAACCGTTTACAGTGACAACAGACGCAAGTGACCATGGTATAGGTGCCGTTTTAAGTCAGTCTGATAGAGTGGTGGAATACGCAAGTCGCGTTCTCACGCCTGCGGAACAGAAGTATTCAACAATCGAAAAGGAGTGTTTAGCGATTGTTTGGGCAGTAGACAAGTGGAGACCATATCTGTTAGGTAGACGATTTCACATCGAGATTGACCATAAACCTCTGCAGTGGATACAAACAGCACGAGACCCACGTGGAAAGTTGGCGCAATGGATGATACGTCTGCAGGAGTATGACGTCAGTATCGGGCATGTACCAGGGAAGGAAAATGCAATGGCGGACTACCTGTCAAGACCAGACATGGAAGCCGAGCTTCCATTGACAGCATATGCAGTGAACAGTATAGAGGGAGACCCACTAGAACTCATCCGGCAACAGAAATCTGATCCTAAACTTCGAGAGGTTATCAGAGCGATGAGAGAGGGGGCAGATGTTGACAAACGAGCAATGGACAAGGAGGTAATAATGTTGCTTCGGCAAAAGGAAAGACTGAAAGTGAACACATATGGAGCACTGGTCTGGCAGGATGACGACAAAAATTGGGTGGCTGTGATCCCGGAAGACTGGCGGCGTAAGATGATACACGAATGCCATCAGATAGCGCACACAGGTATCGCAAGAACGACAGATTTACTACGGCAAAGTGCATACTGACCAGGCATGAGAGACGATGTGGCCCAATATGTGTTGATGTGCCAACAGTGCCAATTAATGAAAAGCGATAGATACATGCAACCGCCATTACAGTCGGTCCCAGTGACCGCAGTCGGTGATCTATGGTCGGTAGATGTGATGGGACCATTTCCACAGACGGATAGCTGCAACCGATACTTACTAGTAATGACGGAACATGCTACACGATGGGTCGACGCTGTACCGATTGCCGACCAGCGGGCGAAAACAGTGACCGAAGTAATAATCCGGCACATTGTAGCGGGTCATGGAGTGCCGCAGATGATACTAACTGACCAGGGTCCCTGTTTTGAAAGTGAAGAGTTTAAGGCACGTTTAAAGCAGTTCGGCATCAAGAGGATATGAACTACACCGTATCACCCTCAGACAAACGGGCTTACAGAAACAAACAACCGGACATTAAAGGAATGGTTAGCATCTAAAGGAGGGAATTGGGAGAAAGAGTTACCACTTATTTTGTTGGCGCATCGTGCCTCCATCCAAGGAACAACCAAAAAAATCACCTTTCCTGCTTATGTATGGTAGACAGCCACGACTTCCGATGCATAATAAGACGTGGCCACAGCAGTAGAATTGGACAGCAACAAGATTAAAGAAAGAGAGGACGGAGGCAATTAAGAACGTGAAAAAGAAATATCAGACATCAAGAAGGCGGAACAGCAGAGAAGAGCGTGGAAGCCTTTTAGAGTGGGGGACCTGGTAAAGTGTAGAGAACGGAGAGCTAAAACTGAAAGGGGACCAGGGTCAGGAAAGCTGATCCCGAAATGGGAGGGACCGTACATTATCACAGAGAGACGCGGCCCAGTTTACACGATCCGGAGAGAAGACAAGCAGAAGCGTGTAAATGCCAGTCAACTACAGAGATGGTTTCAAGAACATCATAAGCACCAGTCACGAACAACACCAAAGGAGACAATGGTACGCCGATCAGAAAGATTGCGAGAACAGCTTATTAAAAGGGGGGACGAGTGTGGTGTGAGCTACTGATATCGACATAAGTAGTATATATGGTGAGTAAGGAATAGAATATCTGACAGCAGAAGATTGAGAAGATCATGAAGAGAAGAACAGAAATAAAAAGCAATTTGTGTGGAAAAATCCAGGAACATTGAAGCCTGAGGCAATTGAAGAACATTTTGCAAATAGTGTATCATAGCATGGTTTTTCTATTTTACCAAGTAACGTTGTAATTTGTGCTAAATATATAGTTGGTTGTCCTCACCTGTGTTCTCATTCACAACAGTACTAGGCTTGTATTGCCTAACACGTAATTAGTTTGGCATAGGGATAAATTCGTATAAGTCGGTATTCTGATTGGCGATCTTGACACGTGATATATTGACAGCCCAATGTTGAGGATGCAAGATCCCTAGAACTCACTTAATAAACATCCTATTTACGTAGGTTTACTTTGGAAATTTGAATTCCTCGTTTTCGCACCAAAAGCACCCATTTTTACCTTCAGATTGTATTTCACACTTGAAACGACCCTAAATGTCATTGGTAAAATGTTTCCAATGGCACAGGTGCATCCACTCTATGTGTTCTCACAGATTCTGATCTTCTGAATTCTTCATGTCCCTATCTTTTTTTCTTTCCTAATTTATCTCACTGGATTATACCCATTGAATAACATCTTCAAACCCTAATCTTTCCAACTACTGCTTATACTCTTAATACTTCTACCACTATGGGATTTGAATCGACAATTGCATCACTGTGCTAATGTGGTATGGCAACTCGAACTGATGTACGTACGTACGAAGTTCTGCGTTGTGACTGACTGACTGATTGAAATGTCATTGGTTGGTTGCCTCTTCTAACATGGTATTTTGTGACATTTCTCAAGGAAATTTTTATGTTGCATATATACGCTTGAGTTGTGTGTCTGTGGTTGTTCGTGCTTTTGGGTTCTGTGGAACATACCCTTCCTTCATCTGAAGTGGATCTCCTCCGTCTAGTTAACAGGGTTGAGACGCATCGGAATAGTTCAGATTGTCTTGTCGTTATGTCGCTGTCCCTTCGTTCCGTTCTCCGATTTCAGATGATCTTGTAATCTCTTCAAATATAACAGCCATAAAAACATATCAAAAGTTAACACTAAGAAAACAAACCTCGAGAACACACATTAGTTGTAATTAAAACTCGGAAATTTGATGAACGAAAATCTTCAATAACTTTTTCGCGTTGAGAAACATCTAGATCACCGGAGAGTATGTAGACTTTATGACCATCCAAATTCATTTTCCCGTCCAACCAACTAGCTTCTTGTCGTGTCTAAACAAAGGATTCAAAAATCGGAAGAGATTAAAGACATAAAGATCAATTTATGAAGACGGTGCGCTTGTAGTTGAGTGTATAAAGAAAATTCAACGAGGACAAAGCGGGAAACTATTACCTTCGATTCTGGTACATGGAACGTCTGAAACGTTGACCTTTTGAACATTCTCTTGGTTACCATAAAAATATGTACTTTGAACCGTCTAAAAAGTGTGCTTCCACGTCTAGTACAGTTACAGAAACCAATGGAAAATTTTTACATAGCTACTAGTGACGTCGTTACTTCAGAAGCTACTGAAATATACTAATATTTATCACAATCTGGATATTTAACTAGTCAGGTTAAGAAATAAATTGACTGAATGGAAGACGTTTTAACGAATAAAATTCTTTTTCCGACAACATCATTTTATAGACAATTGTCTACATTTAATAGTTTATAAGAAAACAGGAAAGTATTACATCATTGTCAAAGATGGTCGAATGCATTCTAGTATTGAATAAGGGATTGGACATGATTCTTTTGTACATAGAGGTGAAGTTTGAACTGGTGAATTGCTAGAGCTCCAGTTGTGCACGAATTCCTAGTACAAACCTTCTTCGAGTTAGTTCATTCAACATGGTAGATAATCTTGGGTGATAACTCTCGTGGTGACCAGGGTTGACCATGTATTTAAGGATTAAGCAATCGATCAGTGATTCTCGGATATTCCTTTACCAAGTGTACGCATTGTAAAACCAATATAGCCTGCTCTGCAAGGGCAAGTAAACTTATAAGTAGGCATTAAGGGGCTCCAAAACATCAGCTTTCTTGATACTTACCCTAACGACACACTTAAGAAAAAATTCGGATCCCCGCTAGATGAAATGCCTTTATCAGAGGCCTAAATGGTCTGATTCTTATTATCTCCGCAAACGTATCGCCCTCGAATTAAATGTTCAGGAATATGACTTTTTTGGAACTGTGGGGGTAATTTCAACTTGACGTTTTGAATGACCATTGTAAGACCGCTAGAAACCTTGGACAAATACGACACGTGACAAACACATGACATTTATCCAAAATTCTAATGAAAATGCTCTACAATTTCTCACTAAAAAAGAGAACTAGAGCTTTCGGACAGAAAAAATATACCTGTTTCCCATCGCCTTGAAGTCAATCAGTCAGCTACAACGTAAGATCAGGCACATTTATGTATCGGTCCAAGTTGCCATACCTCGATAGCATATCAAGATCAACACCAAATTCATAGAAGTAGTCAATGCTATGGTGGTAATATATAAAAGAAAGGTTGTATATAAGGATTTAGTACAGGAAGAGAGACAGATATGAAACAATTTTAATCTGAAGGTTTAAGGGAAGATAAAGAGTGTATACACCCACGCCATTGTGATCGATTCTAAGCTATAACACACAGAGTCTCCAACCATTGGTTACGATAGTCACACGGACCCCAACCAAGTAGTCTGCATCTACCAACATGGCTGAGACTGGAAGTTAGTAACTTCAAGCTCTGGTGCCACGTTTTGGTTTGGCCGCCTCTAACTTTCTTCCAACCATTCCCAATACTGGTCACCATTGCATATCATGGTAATCGGTGCTCAGGCATACGTAACACGTGGCCCAACTATCTCAGTTGATGAAGATTCACAACCTCATCAACTGTTTTATCCTCATTTCCTAATATCCTACGTCCAAACATTGAAGTCAACTAGCAGGCAACACATTTTCACTAAACACACGATAGATTCCTAATCCAGACTTTGCAAACGACACCAAGATGTCTACTATTGTTTCATTGTGGTGATTAAACGGTCGTGATAGCGCAGTTCTTAACTGGTGACTAATATTATTGTAATTGCTGCTCGTCACTGTGAACAGAATGCAGTGGATACAGAAAGTAAATTCGCCGATCCAAATATTGGTAGCAATAATTTACAGTCTATTAATAATGTGGACTGATGCCTAAAGGTCATATTATGGTACTATTTACAGTGAAAGTTATAAACACATGTTGCTTCTACATCATGCATAAATGTATTTTAAACATGAATGGATAAATCTGAATTGACCGCAACAATGTTATCCCTTGAAGCCCTACAGTAGATGTAAATGGATTATGTTTGGTAATTAAATTATTGAGCAAGCAAAATAAAACGTCGAAATACAAGTACAAACGGAGAGGATGTGGTTGGTTGTGAGTACTAAATGACGCACAACGTAGAAATAATAAAATGTAGTTGAACTACTTGCTATTAGTAAGTAGCCCAAAATCAACGGTTGAAATAAGTAGGGAGGGACCAGTATTTTTATCATTTACAGTACACATCTGGGTAATGATCTTCATTATAGAATAATTTGCTGATCAAGAAGTAACCACGATGAATTCAATTAGATTAGTCAGTTGAATAACAACGTTGATACGTTATTTATGTTTAATAAGTTAAAAATTCAACAAAATGTAAAACTTACTGCACAAAATATAATTGCTTGGCCAACTTCAAAACCTCCATAAATATCTTTCAACGCCTGATACTTTTCAATCCAATCACTAAAGCACATGTAAAACTGTTTAATATTTTTCAAAGGAAGTTGTGTACGCTTTACACGAAACTCTATCGGATTAGGAACAAACTCATGTGCAAAATCAATGACGGAATCTTCATAGGTAGCTGAGAACAATAGGATTTGACAATTTCTGGACAACTTCCTACAGAGTTGATAAACGTAAGAAGTAACATGAAATAACGTATACTCTAATAATAACAACGAAATATTCATATTAAATATTTATTAACTTCAATGCAGTTTAGTAATGATTGAATACAAGTCTGACGATATCTATTTACTTTTTAAGTTGTTCGGATTAGAATGGAAACTGGAAAGGATTGGAATTTCTGATAGTATTAAAACATGATTACTTAAACGAAAAATGGACTTTAATGAGTATTCATTAAACGACTCCAGATAGAGAAGAACGAAGCTGGTCACTAACAAAGAAGATGTAAGAAAGAATACCACGACGCGCTATGCTGACTAGTATTGGCGATGGTTGGAAGAGAGTTAGAGGCGGCCAAACCAAAACGTGGCATCAGTCCACAAAGTCACTAACTTCTAGTCTGATCCATGTTAGTAGATGCAGACTACGTGATTGGGGTCCGTGTGACTATCGTAACCAATGGTTGGAGACTGTGTGTGACATGCCTCAGAATCGATCACAATGGCGTAGGTGTATACACTCTTTATCTTCCCTTAAACCTTGAGAATAAAATTGCTTCATAACTTTCTTCCTTCCCATACTATATCCTTATATACAATATTTCTTTTATATATTACCACCACTAAATTAACTACTTCTATGAATTTGGTGTTGATCTTGATATACTAATGAGGTATGGCAACTTGGACCGATGCATATGTGTGACTGGTCCTACGTTGTAGCTGACTGACTGAGATTTATGTGGCCCGAGATCTAACTTCACTTAGGTCATATGATTGATTATTACTGAAATATACATATCATCTGACCTTGTATAAAATTATCGACTTAATCCGTTTTAGTGTATAACGGAATTAAATAAGTCAAATACGAAAATGGATTTCGAATACGTATATTTTGTACACTCATTGATCTGGATAGACAATTAGAGAAACGAAGAGAAAAGAGAGAAGTGAAATGACGTGCGGTGGAGATGGCGGGTGAGCCAACTTGATTTAACCCAGCGTTAATCAATATTTATAGTCACGCAAAAACAAGCAACAGATATGTGATGAGTAGGATAAGATAATAATTAACAAGGTCAAAACGTGACTCAAGAAGAATGGATAAATTGGCCTGTACAGAAGCTAGAATAACTTATATGGGCTTAGCATAGTAACTGACACTACAAGGTTGCTAAAACAATACTAAGAATATTCAGCATAATGAGAAAAGTTCTGTTCACTGATGGTGATTCCACTGAGCTAAAACTCTAGTAGTTTAAGAACATAGTTCTTAACTGTGGAAGACAACTGAAAATTTGGCACCAATAGGCGATAGTGACTTAACCATTTATTATATTTATTTCTTTATGTACATAAACATTTTTACAAATGGGCATTAAATATATATGCGCTATACAATAAAGTTGTTAAGAGATACAGAATGATAGGTGAGTATAGTGAAAAAAGAAGAGCAACAGGGAACAGGAACTAGTATATGAGAGTGATAATAACAATAACTGCCACCAAGGTCAGTGTTTTAAGCTGTTGAGACCGATTGAATTGTCGTCGCCGTACCAGAAAACACGCTTCCGAACCTCTGTATTATTAACATGGTGTCATACCCACGGACACCAGTTGCCAACTGATTAAGTGCGGATCGCATGCCTTGGGCATTATCGCACAGTAAGACAATATCATCCGCATACTCGAGGTCGAGAAGTCGTTCTCCAGGCAACAGATCCACACAATCATTACTTACATCCATCAGAGCTGTTTCCAGAACGTCATCGATAGTAAAGTTGAAGAGGAATGGTGAGATCGGGCAACCCTGTCTAACCCCACTGCTTGAATGGAACAAGGGATGAAGGTGATTGTATGCCCTCACTCTGTCTGAGGTGTTTGTATATAGGGCCTTTAAGATGTTAATGAACTTCTCAGGCACACCCTTCTTCAATAGACAATCCCAGAGAACAGTCCTGTCCAACGAATCGAAGGCAGTCCTGATATCAAGAAACACTACGATTGTTGGCCTGCGATAAGTATGACGGTGTTCTAACATTTGGCGGAGGGTGAAGATATGATCAATGCATCCTCGACCAGAACGAAAACCAGCCTGCTCCTCGCGAGTCAATCGTTCTCGCGTTTTAAACAACCTACGAAGAATGACAACTCCGCCTGTAGCTCTTCTAGAGTTACTGCCGGTCCCAAGCCCGGGTAAAGGAGGAGGGTTGGGCATGGGGTTAGCGACCCCATCCCGTAGAAAAGCTAACTCGCTAAAAAAACGCTAACCAGAAAAAATAATCCAAACCATTTAAACTCTGCTCTGGGAGTTGAAGGAATAATGACGTCTCATGATGAAAGCCGAAATTCTTCGGAAGTCACGAGACCGATGCACCTTCTAACAACCAGAGCAACACTCTTTATAGGTACATGGAACGTCCGGACAATGTGGGAAACAGGAAAGACCAGCCAAATAGCAATGGAAATGAGGAGATACAACTTGGCAGTACTCGGAATCAGCGAAACCCATTGGACACAAACTGGACAACAAAGGCTAGGTACAGGAGAGATGCCGCTGTACTCCGGTCACGAAGGGGAAAATGCGCCACACACTCAGGGAGTTTCTCTAATGCTGTCCAGAGAAGCACGAAATGCACTTGTAGGATGGGAATCTCATGGACCCAGGATAATCAAAGCATCATTCAGAACAAAGAAGCAAGGGATCACAATGAATGTTATCCAATGTTATGCACTCACCAATGATAGCAACGACGATGATAAAGATCAGTTCTATGAAAGGCTGCAATCAATTATAGCAAAGTGCTCACGAAAGGACCTCACCATCCTGATGGGAGATCTAAATGCTAAAGTTGGAGTGGACAACACAGGATATGAAGATGTAATTGGACGACATGGACTAGGAGAGAGAAATGAAAATGGGGAGAGACTTGCAAACCTATGTGCTTTCAACAAATTGGTTATAGGCGGCACAATATTCCCACACAAACGCATACACACAGCTACATGGATCTCACCGGACCACACCACAGAGAACCAGATTGATCACATCTGTATCAACAAAAAATTCCGAAGATCAATGGAAGATGTGAGAACCCGGAGAGGAGCTGACATAGCTTCAGATCACCACCTGGTTGTGGCCAAGATGAGACTGAAGCTAAAGAAAGACTGGACAACTGGACAAACAGCACTACAAAGGTTTAATACAGCCTTCCTTCGAGATACTGACAAACTCCATGAATTCAAGATAACTCTCAACAACAGGTTCCAAGCTCTACAGGATCTACTGAAAGAACAAGAAACTACTTTGGAGGACAACTGGAAAGGGATAAAAGAAGCACTAACTTCAACGTGTCAGGAGGTTCTTGGTCCTAAGAAGCACCATCACAAGGAATGGATCTCTATGGGGACCCTGGACAAACTTCAAGAAAGGAAGAACAAGAAACTAGCAATTAACAACAGCCGAACACGAGCAGAGAAAGTCAAAGCACAAGCAGACTACGCAGAAGCAAACAGAGAAGTGAAGAAAAGCATTAAAGCCGACAAGCAGAAATACATGGGAGAACTAGCAACGGCGGCGGAAAAAGCTGCAAGAGAAGGGAATATGAAACAACTATATGATACAACGAAGAAATTGGCAGGGAGATATAGCAAACCAGAGAGACCAGTCAAAGACAAAGAAGGAAAGACAATCACTGAGATTCAGGAACAGAGGAAAAGATGGGCAGAATACTTTGAGGAACTGCTGAATAGACCAGCCCCATCGAATCCACCGAACATCGAAGCAGCCCACACTGACCTTCCAATAGATGTCACTCCACCAACGATCGAAGAAGTCAAGATGGCCATCAGACAAATCAAAAGTGGGAAGGCGGCAGGACCTGACAATATACCAGCAGAAGCACTGAAGTCAGACATTGAAATAACTGCAAACATGCTTCACCTTCTATTCAAAAAGATTTGGGAAGAGGAACAAGTGCCAACGGACTGGAAAGAAGGATATCTCATCAAGATACCAAAGAAAGGAGACCTGAGCCAATGTGAGAACTACAGAGGCATCAGTTTGTTATCAGTACCAGGAAAAGTTTTCAACAGAGTGCTGCTGAATCGGATGAAAGACGCAGTAGACGCCGAACTTAGGGATCATCAGGCTGGATTCCGTAAGGATCGGTCGTGCACAGACCAGATTGCGACACTACGGATCATCGTTGAACAATCAGTTGAGTGGAACTCATCACTATACGTCAACTTCATCGACTATGAGAAGGCGTTTGACAGCGTGGATAGGAGAACATTGTGGAAACTTCTTCGACACTATGGAGTTCCTCAGAAGATCGTCAACATTATCCAAAACTCATACGATGGATTACAGTGCAAAGTGGTGCATGGAGGACAGCTGACAGATGCATTTCCAGTAAGGACCGGAGTCAGACAAGGCTGTCTACTCTCCCCATTTCTCTTCCTTCTAGTGATTGACTGGATTATGACGAATTCGACATCCGAAGGGAAATACGGAATACAATGGACTTCTCAGAATCAATTAGATGATTGGAACTTCGCAGATGACCTAGCCCTCCTCTCTCATACACACGACCAAATGCAGGTGAAGACAGCAAATGTAGCAGCAGCCTCCGCATCGATAGGCCTCCACATTCACAAAGGAAAAAGCAAGATTCTCAAATGCAACACGGAGAACACCGACCCAATCACACTTGATGGCGAAACTCTGGAAGAGGTGGAAACATTCAAGTACCTGGGGAGCATCGTTGATAAACAAGGAGGATCGGATGCAGATGTAAAGGCAAGGATTGGCAAAGCAAGGGCAGCATTTCTACAATTGCAGAACATATGGAACTCAAAACAACTCTCAACCAATTTCAAGGTCAGAATCTTTAATACGAACGTCAAGACAGTCAGTTATACTGTATGGAGCTGAAACGTGGAGAACTACTACGGCCATCATCAGGAAGGTACAAGTATTTATAAACA